TAGTAATAGTTCATTAGACCATTTAATTTTTTGGAGGAATACTGTTCAAAAAAAAAATATCAACGCTTTCATCAATTAAAAACTGATTTGTTTTGATTGGGTATTCTTCAACAATTTTTGTAAACTGTTTATGAGATTCGTAAGCATGGTAAAAACTTCGAAGAATTAAACCATATTATCTCTTGTTCCACGGCTAATTTGATTTCTTGAATTCTATGAAGGGTAATCATATGTGTATATACATATGATTACCCTTCATAGAATTCAAGAAATCAAATTAGCCGTGGAACAAGAGATAATATGGTTTAATTCTTCGAAGTTGTCACCAAAATCCATTAATACATATCCTCCCGAAGATTTTATTGATAAATTTAAAGATGTACTTTTCGGCAAACCAGCAAATAGTAGGCACGTGTGAAAAATTTACTATTTACTATTTTTATTATTGATTATAATAAATCATTAAAAAGAGGTTAAAATCAGCATTATAATAGTGAAAATTTTATAACAAAATAACACTTCTACAAAAAGTTATGCTCATTTAAGTAACAAAATTTGATTACAAGGATTGCTTAAAAAAAACAGCGAACAGTTTTAAAATGTCAGTTTCGGCTAACGGTAATTTTGTTATGGAGCTTTGTTGCTAGAAGCGCAATATTTTGCTTTATTTACAATATTTTTACTTAGGTACATATTCTACTAGGTGTCCGCAACATAATCTTTTTCAATAAAATTTAGCATGCACGTAGAAAATAAGTTTTTAAATTTTTCTCAATAGTTTAAAAAATGTTTTCAATATTCCTTCAGTATTAATTTGACGTGTGATCAACAACGAAGTTTTAAAAAAAAAGTAAATTCAATAAAAGCGGTTGTAACTACAAAAAAAAAAAAAACTATCCAAAAATGAAGTTTAACTTTTCCACTTTTCAAAAAAAGTCAATTCTGATACAAAATCCTAAAAAATAACACAACAGAATACATTCTTACAACTCAATCCCTAAGTACGCTTTGATAAAATGGTTGAAGATTTTGATTATTTTAATTTTGATAATCGGTGCCGTAACTCATTGATTACGCACGTACCTACAAATAGAGAAATTTCAAATTATGGTATGACACCTAATACGTTAGCTGAGCTATGTTGTTCCAGTTGGCTTATCATCTAATCATATGCTTCTGATTTTAAGCATTTTAAATTCTTTTCAAAATGTTTCCTTAGTAATTTACTTTAATTTTGTTGGAAATATTTAACGTTTTGTTTCACCCATAACTAACATACTGTTCCTGAAAAATTATTCTTTATTGTTAATATTGGCAAAAATAATGAGAAAACCTTTACTGGTACTTGTATCAATCCAGGTTATCATTGGTCATTTGCAACCTATAGATATATGGGTTGCAAATGATATATAGTGGAGATATATGTGGAGTCATAACAGTAGTATTATGTGCAATTGCTTGTTTAAGGTATGATAACTCCAAGCATACTATAGGTAATGATAATCAACTGGATAACAATTATATATTTCTTAAAGAGCCAACAAAATATTCAAAGTATTTACGCTTGGTTTTGATGGCATGGTTTATTTGCAAAGAAGTAGTTATAGAATATGTTGTCCCAAAATCGATTTCTGTTTATCAGCACGGCTGTTTAAGAGTGGACTTACGGCTTCTTGTTATTTTTTGGAAATAGTTACTTAGAGGGTGTTACTAAAACTTTTATAACTTTTGAAATATTAAAGATAAATACGTTCTGTAAAAAGAATATGAACACTGACTAAATGTTTTATATTTTATCATTCAATATAATAATCCAAGGCTTCTCTAATTTTAAATAAACGCGCAAAATGACGAACTTGGCAGAATTTAGAAATTTTAATGGTACTTTTTAGCAAAATTAATCAGAAAAATTATATTTCTTCTGACTAATATGCAATATAAACATAGCTAGACTAATTATAAAACACATTAACATTATTTACACCGAATGCGAACTGATACAAGCACTACAATAGACGAAATTAAAAAATACCAAAATATTTTCTTTTTTTTTACGAAAAGTATTTAACGTCACGTGACTGCTTTGAATTAAACTAGCCAAATTGTTTCTAAACCAGCCAAGTTTGAAAATATATGTCATAACATAGCTAGAAATACATATTATAATTTTTTGATTTTTATATGAAGAAAGGGTTGAAATTTCAATAATTTGGTGCAGAGTTCAAAAATAATACGATTTGCATTTAAAATTGATAAAACTAAAAATATAAATGCATTGAAAACTAATTTTTTTTAAATAAATTACAAACTCTGCACCAAAAATCAGTTAGAATAGACATTTATTGATAAGTATTCCAAATTTCAATCATCAAGCATGTAGCTATGTTATGAATTCTTAGTTGGCCCAAGACAGGTTTTTTGTAAAAATCGCAAAAAACAGAAAAGTGATTCCAAATCAAGAGCAATATTTTAGCAATATTTACTTTTATTCCGTTTAATGTAAATATTTATATAATAAGAAAAGATATTTCTTTTATATATTTTTTATTTGAAGATAAAAGCGATTACAGAAAAAAAAAATGCTAATATTTTAAAGTTTGTACAATTTTATACTTTATATGCCGAATTTTATAAAATACTTTTTATGCGGAAATTGTTTTTGCTAAACTCGTGACGTAATGCCCATTTTTACATTGAGTGAAACAGCCGTGTCAGATTCAGATTATGATGAAAATATTATTTGCACAAATCTTGCAGAATCCGAGTTTGAAAAAAAAAGTTCATGGAGTAATAAAGAAAAAGATATTAATTCTTTTGAATGTTGTTTTTGCAAAACTTTCTTTACCAAAAAATGCAATTTGCCGCGTCATCTCAAAAACATCCACAAGTCAAAATACTCAAGCAAGTATTAGGACAGGAAATAGTTTTTGTTTAGAGTGTGGGTTTCAAAGCCGGAGAATTACTGATTTAAGAAATTATTTATCTTTATCTCATTGTTTTATATTCCAAAAAAAATTAATACCA